TAATATATATATTTATATATATATATATATATAATATATGGTCCATGATAAGGTTAACATTTCAACCGATTATTTTCACCTCGTAACGTATATTACGAATAAATGTAAATCTTTACGTCATCTAGAATGTAAATGTCGTCATCTCTTTATCCGATTTATAAAAATTCAAAATGATTAATAAAAGTTTTTTGTTTATGGGGAAGAAAGAGAGTTCAAAGTGCAACAAAGTTTAAAATATAAGTAAAAATAACACAGGCAGAAAGTGTTCTTATTGTCGAGGAAAAATAGACATTTTTTGAAATACTTGCTAACACTTTTGAGTCGCACTAGAATATATCACATACCTATGAAGAATCAAAGAATTCCAGGTCTTGAGTTTATATACCTGGGAGTATCAAAGTACTTCAGATCCTGAGTATATATACCTCGGGAGAATCAAAGTACTCCAGATCCTGAGTATATATACCTGGGGAGAATCAAAGTACTTCAGATCCTGAGCATATATACCTCGGGAGAATCAAAGTACTCCAGATCCTGAGTATATATACCTGGGGAGAATCAAAGTACTTCAGATCCTGAGTATATATACCTGTGGAGAATCAAAGTGCTTCAGGTCCTGAGTATATTACCTGTGGAGAATCAAAGTACTTCAGGTCCTGAGTATATATACCTGGGGAGAATCAAAGTACTCCAGATCCTGAGTATATACCTGGGGAGAATCAAAGTACTCCAGATCCTGAGGATAATCCACAATATCAACTCGTTCTATTCCTGATCTAGCTGGTACACCCTCCTTCTTACCAGGCATATATCCCTAATACAACATAGGGGTCAAAACTTTTAAATCTTATAGCAATGCGCTCAGTCGCTTTCCCCTGGCACTTTGGATTAGTCGTTGATTAAGTTTTAAAGGGAGTGACCGGTAATGTATGGTAGTTGAACTGAGAATGTAGTATTGTGGAGAATTTTCTTAGGAATCATTTGAGACCTATGAGACATTTTTACGGTGCATATTTATTCAGCAAGAGGACAATTTGAATGCTTAAAATCCTCATATCTTGTCCATTATTGAGGGATGATTTTGAGAATCGGGGTTGAACAAATTATTCAATGACGACGACGAAAAATGTAGTAAAAATTCTTCAGTAAACTAATTAGTTGTAATCTTATTCAGTTATTTGTTTCTGTAATGTCTCATTGTTCACAAACATTTTCTGTATATTTCTTGTTATTTTTATAAAAAAGAAGACGACATTTGAAGAATTTAAAGAAATTCAATTTAATGATAAAAAATAAATAACATTGATCTATTGAGAAAATTTCAATTGAGAATACGTTTATTAACATCTAATTAGTTTAATGTAGATTTTTTCTATTTGCGCCCCCGGAATCGAATCATAAAAATGTTTTCTAAATACTGTGCAGTTTTCTGACTTTAAATGTAGCTATATCTATTGTAACCATCCCCAACTTCCTCCCCCTGCTCCAACCGCCTTATCTAGATACTCTAGCTTTCCAAACACGATAAGGATGTGTTGCTAAGACAGGATCACAGGATATAAAAGGAGACCTAACAAAGAATAAGTTTAGTTGTGCACTAGCTCTCACAAAGAGAGGATGAAGACATTCGCCAACTCCCCACAGTGGTAAGAAGCAGTCAGTCCAATGGAACAGAAACTGCTTGGACAGATTGGAGCTGTGGGAAAACAACATGCTGAAGGAGATTTGTTACCCGAACAAAGATGGTGCCAGAAGAGATATGTTGCCTGAGGGGATAATTGACCTGAGGGGATAATTGACCTGAGGAGATATGTTGCCTGAGGAGATATGCAGCCCTGAGGAGATACCATGTTGAAGGTATCTAGCCAAGGAGTATCTAGCCAAAGAAGGTATCTAGCCAAAGGAGTATCCAGCAAAGGAGTATCCGGCCAAAGGAGTAACCCATCACTGAGTGCCAAATCTGTGTCTTTTGACTTTAGTTATTTATTCCTTCATTTTGTTTCTCTTTAATATAAATGTTCAACTACTTTGTTCTATTATTGGTGGTGACTTGAAGACTACTAGAGTATTGTTACCCGCCTTTGTGGGTATCCTTTCAAATATAACACTATTTTTGTAAAAAAAATAACAGTTTTAAAAAAGAATGTATTCATTAAAAAATAGAATAACCACACTTTACACTTGATCCTAAATTAACATAAGGGTATTTTTATCAATCTAGGATAGATTTGAATAGGTATTAGATTTAAGATAAGCCCTAAGTTCACACTGAACTAACCAGAGTGAGCAGCATTCGGTTTCTTCTATTTGAAATCAAACGTGTTTTGGTCTTTAATTCAATAATCATTTACTTTACGGATTTGTTTATTCTGTATATTTTCCTTCAAAATGCATATGCCAACAAAAAGTATATAAAAAAAGGCTAACAAATTATGTTTAATGGGTCAAATTGGGATCGAAAGTCACAGCTTTCTTGAATATTGACAGAACCGTTAAATCCACGTGAGTTTGATACTATCCATCTATCTACAAACTTTTAGTATCCATGAGCAAAGTGTACCCGTGCAGTCGTAAATTAATATCTAACCCAATGTACAATATCTATTTATCTACAATATTAATCTTTGGTCGAGTTAAAGCAAGAATATGCCCTGAAGATGGTTAAATAAACCGAAAATTTGGCAAAAAGAGTTTTTGTTTCACGGATCTGAGAGTGTTAGATTTAGAAGAATTGTATCTATAATATACAATACCTATTTATCTACAATGTACAATATCTATTTATCTACAATGTACAATATCTATTTATATACAATGTACAATTTCTATTTATCTATTCATCTACATGTTTTCCACATTTTCAAAGTATGGAAATTATAACAAATAACAACAATCTACAATGTATAGATACTAATCTTCTACAATGAAGATCAAAATAATATGGAACAGAAAGAAGCCCTTTAATATTTCTCAAGTATATTTGCTGTGATAAAAAAAATATTTGTATCAATAACTCGAACAAATTATTTATTTAGATAAATGTGTTGTTTCACACAAATATAAAAACTGTGTATTAACTTTTCAAACCGCAGTAAGAATTTGTAGTGTCGCCATGCCATTCTCCTTTAGATCAACTTAAAAACCCATTTATACTTTTTTCAATGCCTGGCTTTGGCTTGGCTTTGATAATATAAATATGCAATTGTAGCTTGTTTCTAGCTTCAGATTTAAAGGAATATTTGGCATAATCCTAATAGTTTAGTTTCTGTGATATATTGTTTGTACGACTTTTATTCTATTCCAGATTATTTTCGAGATCACCGCACAATCTAATGTCATACCATTAAGATTGTATTCACTCCACCTTCTCTTACCAACACGATATAATCATTTTCCTACGAAGTCCCAGCAAATAATCAAAATTAAGAACAGAACAATAAGGTAAAACATCTTTTTTAATGAAGATGATAAACAATTGAATAATAACAATATACTGTATGTATGCAAAATGAACATGAAAAAGAAATTAACATTGACATTGAAATAGAATTGATAAAAAAATTGTATCAAATTGTAAGTGAACAATGATACAAATTTTTTTGACTTTTTGATTTTGGCCATTTAACTGATAGTAAAAGTCGGAGCTTAAAATATCAAATATCAAGATGTTTACACCGATATTATTAGGATTTAAAGAATAGAGTTTTAGGCGATTAGACAATTTCTTTTTACAATTTAATGATAAATCATGAAAAAAAAGTATTAAAAAGCAAAAAAATCAGAAATAATATCTGAAGTATCTGATTTTGGAAACGGAGAATTGACAATTTTCCAATTAAAGATGGTTGAAAAGGAATGGTTTCAAAGATTTAGAAATTAATATTTTAATTCTTTCCTTCCTGTTTCTAGATGATTCATAAAAAGGTGTCTTAAAAAGTACCTGTATAAGTCTGTATATTCCAGAGAGAAGGTCGGATACAGGGAAGGGAGAAGGTGGTTTAAGTACCTGTATAAGTCTGTATATTCCAGAGAGAAGGTCGGATACAGGGAAGGGAGAAGGTGGTTTAAGTACCTGTATAAGTCTGTATATTTCAGAGAGAAGGTCGGATACAGGGAAGGGAGAAGGTGGTTTAAGTACCTGTAAAAGTCTGTATATTCCAGAGAGAAGGTCGGATACAGGGAAGGGAGAAGGTGGTTTAAGTACCTGTATAAGTCTGTATATTCCAGAGAGAAGGTCGGATACAGGGAAGGGAGAAGGTGGTTTCTTCTCAACCATCTCAACAACATCAACATCAGACCGATCCATCAGAGAATCTAATAAAAAAGATTCTTTTGTAATTTTCTACATCTTAACATAAATACTCTTAATTCGTTTGTGTTTAGTATATTTTATAGGTTCAAATAGCAACATGGAAAAAATATTTGGCAGATATATATTATAAATATATATAAAAATATTTGGCAGATTGAGTTTTGTCCGAAAAAATGAAATATTCCAACTCTTCATATGTTGAATGTAGTCTCTATTTATGGTCATCTGCGTTAATCTGGCAGAATATTTTGGATTTAATTTTCTGATTTCCATTATGATTGCGGCGTTTTGATTGATGGAGATCAAAATAGAGGTCAGTGACATAGTAATAAAATTTATGGTTGCCATTTGTGTAAAAAAAAAATGTTTCATATACAAAGTTAGGTGCAGATTTTTTGGCGGCACACTGCACAAGATATTGCAAAAATAGTATTACCAATTTTGTCTTTAAAAAATCGCTAATGAATCTATACCTGTGCTTGGTGTAGAAGTGATATCAATAATTTCAGAAGAAGCATCAATTTCAATTTCAGGGTTCAATGTTGTACCGTCATCAGAAGCTGGAGTTACTGTAGATTCTAAAGTGGTTTCGTCAACTTCAAATATTTCTGTATTTCTAAAGAGTTCTGTAGTAGTTGCATCTTGTTCAGAAATCACAAAATCAGTTACTGACTCTGATTCAGTAGGTTCATCTGTAACAGCTGTGGAAGGATTTGTGGTAAATACAGTAGCATCATCAGTAAAACTTGGGGTAGAACGAACAAGTCTAAAATGTTTGGTTTTTAAGTTTGTATCTACAGCAGATTCTGTAGAATCAATAGATTCATTTGTGGTTAAGTCAAGTAGCTTAGAAGCATCAGTGGTAACAGTCGCTACAAGTTTTGATTCATCAGTTGACTCCTCTATGTCATTGATTTTAACCTTTTCAGTCATAGCTAAATCATCATCAGCTTCTGTAGTGCCAGTAGTGTCTGCAGTGTCAGTAGTATCAGCACCTTCAGGCACCCAGGTGGTGTCTTTTCTGGACTCAGTATTTGAACTTGTTCTAAACAATTGTACAAACTAGTATTGATTTGTTAAACTTACTAATTCAAAAGGAGTGTTCTTGAAATGTTAAAGAGGTATAAGAGAAAATAATAAAACTTGGAATCAATCAGTGATTTTTTGAAGAGCAATCGACACAAGATTTTAGAAAAGCTCCGGAAACCCAGGTTTTTACCTAATCTCAGTATGGCCCAGCATTGACCAAGCATGCCCGCGAAGAATTCAGATTGAAATTAAAATAGTAAATTTCAACATATAATTTTTGTGTCAAACCTTTTTTAATATTGAAAATGAGAAATATGAGAAAAAAAAATCAAAAAAAGGTTATATCAATTTGTCTTCACAGAAACGTTAGAAAGAAATAGGACTGGTTTCAGTCATAATCTTATTAATTTCTGATTGACCTATACCCTCTTTCATATATAGGGAACACACCCTTTAACTCTCTCTATAATTTAAATTTACCTGACTGACTCAATGTTGTCGTTGATGCTGTTTACAAGATTCTTTTTCTTGAAGTTGTACTGGGGAAGAATAAATCCATTAATTACAGTTGTAAGAGGTAGAGTTGTCGTTGATATTTCAGGAATATCTGTACTTGTTGTGGATGGTAGAGTTGTTGATGATATATCAGGAACATCAGCACTTGTTGTTGATATTTCAGGAACATCTGCACTTGTTGCGGTTGCTAGAGTTGTTGTTGATATATTAGGAATATCTGTACTTGTTGTTGCTGGTCTTGGAGTTGTTACTTCAGTTGTCAATGATGTTGGTCCAACCTCATTTAAATCAGAGAAGATATCATTGGAGGAATCATCTTCAGTTTTAAATCCTTCAACTAGGTCCGTTATAACCTCATTTGATGATTCTATTTCAACCTCTTCTGGGAAAGTAATACCATCACCCTGGGTTGTTCCTTGAGCAGGCATGGGTTGAGTGCTTTCTTCAAGAATCTGACTTACATTTGATGTAGCATCAGGGTTAACATACTTAATTGTGTCAAGATATAATGGTCCATTCACTTTATTAGCCTCTACCTAAAGTACAAATAAGATTTGAAATTTTATAAAATAATACATAGATTTAATATCAAGGATTTGGATTGAGGGGAAATGAATATTTACCTTTGTGACGGTGGATTCTTTAAGACTAGTTTTAAAAGTTGTTTCATCCAGGGCTTGCTTGGTGGTGGTTTTAACTGTGACTATATCAGCATCAATTACATTCTTATCAGCAGCAATATCTTCAGATGTATTTGTGTCTTCAACCTTTCTAGCAGTTATGTCATTAAGTAGTTCTTCCTGGATTAAGCTAGGTTCAGTTTCTATCTCATTAGTTGTGTCATATGGATTCTCTGTATTGGATATGTCTTTAAAATAAGTAGTATAATCTATATCGTCATCATAAATTGGAGCTTGTGATATTTCATTGTCTGTTGACAGGGCTAAATCTGATCCCATTGGAAGTTTGACAGGATGCCCTGTTGTTGTGTCCTGGTATATTTTATTTTGCTCCGGGAACAAAGATGAGATGATAAACCCATTGGAAAGCTGCGTTGACTCAAATGTATTAGAGTTATCGTTGTCTTCGTCAACATCTGCAACTACTGCCGAAATCTCTAAATCCACTAGTTCAGGGATGTTTGGTATTTGGAAAGGTGAACCTGTGGTGGTATAGTCAAAAATAGTCTGTTCTTCTTCAGCAACAACTGCTTCTACTTCCAATGGTAGGATTTCACCAGCAACATCTTTATTTTCAGAGTTTTCTTTGTCCAAATCTGAAGAATCAATTTTATTTTCAAAATCTGCAGGAATGGTTACAATGAATTCATCAGAGTATGACTTTATTGTTGTCTGATCAAACTCAATATCTTGAGATATTGGGTAGTAAGTAACATAATGATTGTCATCATAATTTTCCTCTTCAGCAACAACAGGCTCTACTTGCAGCAAAATTTGTCCAGACAAAGTAACATCCTCAATATTGATTTCTGAATTAGTAACAGCTTCAGCAGTACCTGTAGTAGTTTCAGCAAACTCCTTGTTCCAGTCAATATCTATACTATATTCATCAATATCGTCAACATCATCATTCAGGGTTTCTGAAGCGTCTCCAGACCCTTCTATGGTAGGATTAACATCAGGAATTTCAGATTCCCCAAACATAAATTCCTCTTCAAGGTTGTTCTCTGTCGATTTTTCAACCGTGGAAAAATATTCCTTCTTTAAATTTGTAGTTTCTGTTTGAGAAGATTCTGTAATGGTGTCCTCATTATCAACTTCAAAGCTTTCAATTAACTCTTGACTTATTTCAGTTCTAGATTCAGAGCTTAATATAGTTGTTGATTGTATTGCTTGTTCAGAGTTGTCGGTTTGAGTATTTAATGAAGGTTCTGTTTCTGAATCAAAGAGATATTCTGTAGATTGTGTTTTATCCTCAATACCAGCCACAGTTGTGTATTCTTCAGAATATGCAATGTCATCTTCCATTATATCTGTCCGAACTGTAGAAGTGGAAGCTACTTCTTTTACCTTTATAGCATCAGAGGAAGCTTCTTCGGAAGATGTTGTTTCTTCTTCTATTTTTATTTCTGAATGGTTTACTAGTGTTTCCTTTTCTAAAGCTTCAGTTATTTGTTCGGTTCCTGAAATTTCCGAATCTGACTCAGATACTGATTTAGGTTCTTCTGTTGTTGAATTATTTGCAGCAGCTGAATTTTCTGAAGATAAAGAAGAAGATGCTTGAAGTGGAGTTGTTAAAGATGGAGTTACAGACAAACTAGATGTTGTTTCTTCAACTGTAGTCTCCATTGATCCCTTTGATTCAATGGTTGTCTGTTTTTCTGTTGACAATTTATTTTTCAGATCAACAGTTGTTTGTTGTGGTGTTGTCTTGCCACCTGTTGTCTGTGCTGGTGTTGGCATTGTCTGTACATCTGTTGTCTGTTTTTCAGTTGTCTGCTCTGCTGTTGTCTGTTCTGCTATTGTATGTTCTGATGTTTTCTGTTTTGCTGTTGTTTGTTCTGGAGTTGTCTGTTCTGCTGTTGTCTGTTCTGATGCTGTCTGTTCTGCTGTTGTATGTTCTGATGCTGTCTGTTCTGCTGTTGTCTGTTCTGTTGTTGTCTGTTCTGCTGTTGTCTGTTCTGTTGTTGTCTGTTCTACGGTTGTCTGTTCTGCTGTTGTCTGTTCTGTAGAGGTTGCAGCCTCTGCAGTGATAACATGAACGGGTTGCATAAGCTCAACATAATCCGTAGCACTCTCTTCAGCAGGAAGCACTTCAGACACTTTATCTGCTGCATTGACCTCCTCAACCTCAGCAACCTTAATAATCTCTTCTTCTACCTTTTCAATTTCAGCTTGTTTGATCTCATCATCCTCCTCGGCCTCTTCTATGCCTTCAGATTCTTCTTCTTCTTCAATTTCATCAATCTCTTGCACTGACTCATCTTCTTCAACTGGTATAACATCTTTGTTTGCTTCCTCTAGAACCTCTTCCGACTCCTCAACCTCTTCAGTAGTTGATGAATGTGGAGTGAAGTTTGCTGTTGTTCCAGAAGATCCTGAAGAATATGCTAGTGTTGTGGTTTCATGGTGAGGTATTACTGTAAAATCAATGGATCCCATCTAATCGTAAAAATCATCATGGTTTATTTATTGCTTAATTCTAGTTTTTGGTAAAAGATTTTTCTATATTCTTTTTTTATTTCCTGTAATAACCCTGAACAAAATCTGCTGCTTATTAAAAATTTGATTATTTAAAGGATGATTATTTTAGAGATTTATATTTCTGAGATTTTTTCCTGAGTTTCATCTCTGGTCGTCGTTTCAAAATCAGACAAACTAAAAAAATACTTTCAAATAAATTCACTTTTTACCAACCAAAATGAACATTTCGAATTGAAATAAAATTGCATTTTTTCCATATTTTCAGATAGCGAAATGTCAATCACAAAGTTGATAGAGCGTGCAAAACCATTACATAAAAGTTGAAAAGGTGTTAAAAGTAAAAGTTATGCTTGAAGAAATAAAATGTTTTGGGCCTTTTTTGGTTCTTTACAATTTAAATGTTTTTGAATGATGTGTTCCAAGGCAGATATTTTGTTACGGATCTATAGGTATAACTTTGCTTGTCTGTCTGTCCGTTTGTATCCAATAAGCGTCATAAGGACTGAACCTATCGGGCTCAAATTTTGTGTGGGACTTAAGTTCACATGTCCACAGGGAAGGTTTATAGATGATTTCAAAAATTCGCCTCCAAAAAATTGGATTTTACTTAAATTTTGAAAATATTCGAAATTAGTTTATAAAATCCGCGAACTTTTTTTTGTTTTACAATGTATACAAAGAGAAAATGTTCACAATTGAAATAGAAGATGGACGCGAAGCACCCTAAAAAAAAACTATAGAACTGATATATTTTTGACGAAATTTATTTTTCGCCTACATTATAGTGAATTAATCTTGACAAAAAAGACATCTGATGATCTGAATGAGTCGGCAAATGATGACGAAAAAAAATTGTAGAAAACTAAATTTCTGACTGGTGCAAAAATTTTGTGTTAAAGCTAAAATTTTGAATTTAGAATTAGATATGATGATTACATGATATAATTATTTAACGCTTCTCTGCACAAAGCTGGGTTTAATGATAACTTTTAGTTTTTATTTTATCAAATTTTATAATTAAATAAATTTTCTTGGAAAATATGTCTGGTTTTACATGACTAACTTTTTAGCTGAACAATTTGTTGAGTGTTTATATTTAGTTTTATGAGTTTTATATAACGCGTCGAATGAAAGCTGACGCGCGTCGTTTTAGAAAAAAATGCGTACGACCCCCCCCCGCCTTTTTACAACTTATTGCATCTCTTTAAATACAAATACGCATATTTATGCGTATTTTCTCTCTCTAAGCGTATTTTTCTTCTTCTGAAATGGGAACTTTCGGATCTCATATATTCAAGTTTAACTCCTGCAATTTTTGTGTCTTAAGCTGATCTGACCAGTTTTGTAATTTAAAATGTAGATACAAGGTAAGTAAAAAAGTGTAATTTGCGTCGCCTGGTGCAAAATTGCAACTTTTTTGAGCAAATCTCCTGTATGGTGTTTTTTCAATATTTTTTTGAAAATTTTGAAAAAATCTGCGAACCTTTTTTCTCTCAAAATCAAAAGTTCAGAAAAGCAAAAATGCGTATATTAATGAATTCTATCGAAATCTAAAATTTTAAAAAGATTGAATCACAGAATCACAGAAAATTCGCAAAATTGTACGAGGAAAATTCGCAATTTTTAGTTCTGGTTAATTTTTAAGGAAAAGTTATTTAAATTCTCTAGTTCCTTTCTTCTTAGTATATTCAAAAGTATTGAAAGTTCAGTTGAAACCTTAAGAACTATTGAAAAACAATTTTTCCGTAAAAATTAGACCAGAACTGAAAATTGCGAAGTTCTTGATACAATGTTTTTTCAAATTTTCTACGATTCTGTGATTTAATCTTTTAAAAATTTTAGATTTCGATAGAAACAATTTATTTAAACATTTTTGTTTTTCTGAACTTTTGATTTTGAGAAAAAACAAATATTCGCTGATTTTTTTTGGGCCATTGGAGTACCAAAAAAAATTACTAAAAAATATTCAAAAAGCACCCTTCATGATCAAATAGTCTAAGTTTGAAGTATCAAAGGTTTGCACCAAGTGGTTACAAAATATAGAGATTAGAAAATCGAAAATTTGAGTTTGTGTCAAAGATTCACTTCCTTTGTAAAATTTACGAACTTTGACCGAAGATTGACAGGTTAAAGCTCACGAATCTAAGTTATATAATCCATTCATTTAAAATGTTTCTCCTAATAATGTGCTAAAAAAATAAGACAGACGTTTACCTTTCTAATTCATCAGGGAATATTAATAAGGATTCAGGAGTAGTTACTCCGGGGGAAGCTGGAGTCAGGGAGGGTGGAATAGAACTCTGGGCAAACATTGGAGCTGGAGCAGACTCAGAACCCTGAACACGAGAAGTATTTAAAGGGACTGTTGTGGGAACCTTTGGTAAAGTAAAATTATACTCCCTGTATAAAGTATTTTTTTAATTATTTATTTAACTACTTTACAGGGAAGTTAGATAAGTAAACCCATCTTTAAAATTTTTAATTTCCCGAAAAATGGTTGGACACTTTAAGATAAAAGAGCGAATTTTTTTGTGAAAACTTCGCAAACGGGTCCTTATCTTACTTAACATTCCGCTGTTGGGGGAATCAAGGCCCAAGGGTTGGTAATGTTGGTCAGACCTCAAAAGGTGGTAAAAATAAATTTCAATTTCTCACAAACGTACCTTAGATATTGATATTTGTCCATTAACTGCCTGTAAGAATACATCCACACTCTGAAAAAAAACATTTCAAATATATTTTTTTAAGATACAGTGAACACAAAAATAAACCGGAGTGGAAAGTTTTTTTTTTATTTTGATATGAAAAAAGTTCTGTCCCTAAAAGAGAAATTGTTGATTTACTCTATATCAGGGGCATATACAGGAAGTTGCCATAGATTTTACCGATCCAGTGGGGGGGGGACTTTCAACACCCCCCTACCCTCCCCCATATACACCTTTGCTAATGCATGATATGCATAATTCTTGTGGCTTTCTCCATTTAAAAGCATATAAAGCCTGTATAATGGAGGACATTTTTTTTGTAATTTATATTGTTAAATATTTTTTAATTTTCGAAAAAAAAATTCCGTAAAATTGATCAAATTAAATATCATGATTTACCTGTATAGTAGTTGATTGTTCTGTAGTACTTGACACGTTAGTATTATTCTAAACAAAATATTTGTGTTTTTATCCAATCCTTGAATATAAAACAATTAAATGAAATTAAATAGAATAAATCAGAAGATTTTAATTGAACAAATATTTTGATTTTGTGCCTTACATTTACAACATAATACAATTTTCCTTTACGACGCTAACTCATACAAACTTAAAAATTGTTGAAATTTAAAACTTTTTACACCAATTAAATTTACATTTTTATGTATTAGAGAGTAATTAGGAAAGAAGAAATTTTATAAGAAAAATATTCTTTAATGAGCGTTATTTTTTATAAGGGATTTAACAGAAATGTAGCCCCC